ATTATAATCTAGAAATGATGTCACAGCATAACGACAAAATATTCTGAGTACTTGCTGAACAGTTGTAGTTAAAAGTACTTGGGAGATCTCAAATACATACAAGAATAATCCTTTGTCAAACATACGTTAAAGCGTTCATTGAACGCCGCCTTTCCGTGTTGATCTTGTTTTTCATATTTTAAAGCACGACTTACATATAATAATTCCTGTAAACATGTTTGCATTATATTCAATAACATTTGAAATCATGAATTCATTTTGGAATATCACAAACTGATATAGCCCTTAAATTTCATAATCAGTGCAGAATTCATTTTACCGCGCAAAATCGATATGTCTTGGAATCTCATAATTGAATCAATTTGGGAAACAAGACAAACACTAAATACTATTTTGTTAAATTAATATTAAGGTCATGACAATATTTGTATTTTGTGTTATATAGCATCCTTTTCATAAAACTCAATAAACTATGTTCTGTTCATAAATGTGTCATGTTCATCCTATGAAATATATATTGTTGTCTGGACATTTGTTGTTTTGTTACAAATACGTGATGTTTTATTAATACTTAAATACCATTATTGAAGAAAGAGATGTCGAAAGCATTGTTATTTATCGACATTTGTGTTTACTGTTCACTTAGGCTGCAGACAGCGTATATATTGTAACGACCAAGTACCTAGCTCATTGATAATTTCGGATAAGATGCTTTATCCGACTACTACAACACTACAAACATCTGAGATCTTTACCGGTCTCCGAATAAATGACAACCAAGATTCCCTACGTGAATCAATACCTTTTACATATGTAAATATACCCAATGCGCTATTATAGTCCAATTTCATTTTATATATCCATAAAATACGTAATAAACACGTTTAATTATCAATTAGTTTCCCGGCTGCAGCCATTCCGAATCTTACGGACTTTACCGTTCGCGCATGTTCAAGTTCAGCCGTTCCGAATGTAACGGACTTTATCGTTCACGCTTGTCCGAAACAGAGCCGGCTTGGGCTAAATTCTGGCACTGACGTCATCGGCTATATGACGTAGATGCCTGACCCCTGATACTATAAATACTCTGGCGCATGCAATCCGGCTGTCAGTGCCTGGATAGAAATTTGGATAGTAACCAAAGCCGATTTCTACCTTGGAAAATGCCAGCAACTCCTTATTCCAAGGTAATATAATTATTTATGACAGTTTTATTGTGCCTAGATTATTAACCTCAGATAATTTAGTATGTTTTCCCTGACAGTTTATTTTACTCCAATTGTATTGTTTGATGTGACATAATAGAGAATTACCTATAAATACCAGCTTCCATGGTATTTTATCATAGATTCCATCCTGAAGTTCCAGCTACCATGGAACTACTAGTATAATCACCCCTTTAAATGTACATGTATTTATATGAACAAATATAAATATAGACCGTTTATTATATAAACCATTTAGATCCACCTATAACTTGGATGTCATACTTAGCTACTCTACATCGATATAGCTATTCTTTGGTTTAGTTCACAGCCTATAAGACGAGGATTATCACTAACCCTTCCAGACGAGGCTCATCGACGAGGATTTTACAGATACTTACGAATTTAACTGTATTTGATATGAAATCTAAATAAATTATTTGTGTACTTTTATTTCAGGTTTTTGTGTTCTGTTTTTCCCTTGTAGGTTCAATTTTTAATACTTCACGTGTGTTCGAGAAGAACTCACGTCCTGGATATTGTTGCGTGTTTGGGAAGCAGACCCCGACTGCGTTTCAACTGGTGTCAGAAGTGGGATTTTGCTGGATTTTTATCCATTGTTTTACCACTGATAATTTAGGGTCACTGTCTTGCAATGCTGAAATGTTTTGCAACCGCATCCTGGTAACGGGTTTGGTTCACTGGCAGTACATTCCAGATTTAAACCAGTGGTTGTGTTTACATTGTTTTTATAGTTTGTATCTAAACTAGTGGTCATAACATTTTCACAACTATCTAAGTAAATTTCTTCAGCACGTGTACAATATTTACATGGGTCGTCAGTACATGGTCTACGGCTTAGAGCATCACTATTTAGTGAAACTCTGCCTGGTCTGTAATGAATCGTGAAGTCATATTGCCCTAAGATCTCTAACCATCTGGCAAGTTGACCTTCACAATTTTTGTTGAAATTCATAAGCCATTTAAGGCTTCCATGGTCTGTTATAACATCAAAATGTGTACCAAAAACAAAATGGTGGAAATGTTTAATAGAACAAACAACACTAAGTAATTCTCTTCTAGTGACACAATAATTTCTCTCTGTTTTGGTAAGACACCTAGAAAAATAAGCTATAACTTTTAATTTTCCATCTTGTATTTGGTTCAAAACCGAACCTATTGAAAATTTACTCGCGTCACACTCTATAGTATATGGTTGTCCCTGTATTGGATAAGCTAAAACTGGAGCACTACTCAGGAGTTCTTTCAGTTTCTGAAAAGAATTTTGGCATTCATTATCCCAATAAAACTGTCTACCTTTCTCTGTAAGTCTATGAAGTGGTTTAGCTACTTCAGCAAAACCAGGGATCATTTTTCTGTAAAATGAAGCTAAACCTACAATAGAACGAACTTGTTTTGTGTTACATGGCACAGGCCACTCAGTCACTGCTTTTACTTTTCTCAGGGCATGGTTAAATACCTTCTTCAGTCAATTGGGTGACCTAAAAATGATACAGATTTCTGGAAAAATTGCATTTACGGGGGACTAAGCTTTAGGTTAGACTTCTTATTCGCTGGAACATCTCGTCTAGGGTGTTTTAAATGATCATCAAAGGTCTTGCTGTAACAAAGTGAATCATCAAGATATATAAGACATATATTGTATGCTAGGCCAGCTAATACTTTTTCCACGAGTCTCTCAAATACAGCTGGGCAAGTACTTAAACCAAAAGGCATTCTTTTATACATATATGTATTTGAACCAAACGAAAAGGCGGTTTTTGGTTTGTCTCTTTTCTGCTAATACCAATTTGATGAAAAGCTTTCATATCTAAGGAACTGAAATATTTATTATTTGCTAAAGCTTCTAAACATGTATCTATTCTGGGTAGAGGGTGGCTGTCATATTGTATTTTAGCATTAATTTTCCTGTAATCAACTACAACTCTGGTGCTTCCATCTGGTTTTTGGAACAAGTATAAAGGGAGATAACCAAGGAGAAGTGCAAGGCTCTATTATATCTTGTTCTAATAATTTATTGATTTCTTGTTCTGCTATTTTAACGTTTTTCTATTGGTAAACGATATGGTGGTGTACGGACTGGTTGACTGTCTCCAGTGTCAATGGTATATTGTTGTCAAGGTGGTGAACCCAATATCTGTAGGTGTTTTAAACAAAACACATCTTGATTCTTTATCATTAGGTTTTTAAACTTGTGTTTTTGCATTTCTGTCATTTCAGTGGAGCAACGCTCAAAATACATCACTCAAATGAGGAGGATAACATCACTTTGATCACTTGTCTCTACATAGTTTGACTGTTCAGTGCTTGCAGTTGGGAATAAGTCGGTAGGTATCATATTGCCAATAACAGTAATGTTTGTTTATTGAAAGTTTTTCATTATTAACATTTGCAAGTCTCACTGGTACACAACCGTCTATTGGATCTACAAGTTACTTTTCCTACAAGTATTCCACTACGGTCTATAAAGTCTAATTTACCTTCTATAAATGAGGTTTGGTATCTGTCAAAAGGATCAATTGGTTTAGCACTAACAATGATTTCAGTCTGTTGTGGAATTTCTATATACTTTGTTGTAGCTATTCTAGCACACATTGGTTTTGAAGAACCCTCATGTATAAAACAGTCTATCTTTTGTCCCTTTATTATAAGTTTCATTTGACTCAGTAAAATGTCACATCCATTTTTAAATAGGAAATCTCTTCCAAAAAATAGATAAATACAGAATCCCTAAAGAAAGCCCAACACGGCAAAATTGAAAATGTTGCAGGCTCGGTTTGATTGAGCCTGTTCATGGACGGTACTGGAATATGATAAACAAGATCGACAAGGAAAGGCGGCATTCAATGAACGCAGCCCCCACCCGACCCAGCAACAAGCGCCAGCGGCAAGGAGCCCAGGAGGACCCCAAAGAAAAACAGGACAGGGCACAAGGCAGAGTACGAGCAGGCAAACCACTACATCAGAATACATAATAAGTAACTTATAAGGAACTAAAACAAAACAAATAAATGATTTAATATAAGGCCCATAATGTCAAAAGGCACAGGGGAAGGGGACATGAGACAGACAGCGGGGAAGGGGGGGGAATAAAATAAATAAAAACTAGGGACAAAGGGAAGATACTTACCGCAGACGAGAAACAACAAGAGACACGAGCAAAAGTGTCACCTAAACAGTATAAAACAACATAGACATACATCTGAGGAACACAGAGGGGCGCAGCCTTGGAACGGTCAGCAGCATAATAATGACTACTGGGGAGTTTAAACCGGTTAATGGTGCACCAAACCTCGCTCTTAGCCCCGCCATGTTCCTATAAACGAGACAGTGTAAATAAAATGAATCCCCGCCAAGTGAAATTCTAACAGTTGTCATGGTTACAAAAGGTTAAATAAGTAAAACACTAAAATGATCATGTAGAAACATATAAAAGTAAACCCAATGACCATAACAAAAGTACTCAATGTCCTAAAGGAAGACAGAGCAACAAGAAAACGTGAAATAGTAAAATTTTGAATTTAGAAACATCCGCAGATGTGTTCATACGGCGGTTATCATTGAACCTTCAATGTGACACTTCCGTGCCATTCCATGAAAAGCGGCGTATGGTCCCCAAGTAATAAAAAGCGTAATAAAAGAATTGCTTCATTCTTAATATCAGCTATAAGGATATCATGTTTAAAGATATTACCACCAATATCTATTGTAATTTCTGTTTTACCATGAAGAGGTGAGGTTTCACCAGTAACTGTGACCATTTGTGTATTTACAGGTTGAAGTATGGGTCTTGACTCGATTGGCAACAGCTCTTATTCAGATTTCTTTAATATACTGATATTGGAACCAGTATCTAAAAGTGTAGTAAGTTTTCTGTTTTGAAATCTTCAATTTATGAGCCCTGTCCTTTTTATGTTTGGGGTCCGCCTGGGCTCCTTGCCATTGGTTCTTGTTGCTGGGTCATATGGGGGTTGCGTTCATTGAACGCCGCCTTTCCTTGTTGATCTTGTTTTTCATATTGGTCAATATTGGTAGTTAATATTTTGTTTGACGGCCCGGTTGAAAGAATCGACATGTGGGCCTCCAGGTCGACCTGCTGGCGTTTCCCGAGAAACTCTGCTCATGCTCTCTTTGAGAGTGGTTATTGTTATCAAATTGTCTAAATTTTGTGTGATTTTGCCTGGACTGAAAATTATTAGGTTTATAAGGCTGTCTATTTCTTGAATAAGTATTTCTGTCTTGTTTAATGTCTGCTACTTCTTTGGATAAATTATCTAGGGATTTGCAGATATTTTCAAGTTTCTTGTCACTATTATTTTGAATTGGTACATTCTCGGTGACAGTGGCTACTAATTTGTGTCTTTGTCTGTCAGCAAGGCGAAATGCTTCAAGTCTAATTGCTGCTTGCTCGGCATCTAATAATGATTTTGGAGCTATTTCTTTAAGTCTAAAAATAGATAAATAAAGAATCCCTAAAGAAAGCCCAACACGGCAAAATTGAAAATGTTGCAGGCTCGGTTCATGTACCGTCCATGAACAGGCTCAATCAAACCGAGCCTGCAACATTTTCAATTTTGTCGTGTTGGGCTTTCTTTAGGGATTCTGTATTTCTCTATTTCATTGTCACATCCATGTTATTTGTGCCGTGTGGCGGCTGTAAAAAGTCTCCCCGTACATTTAATCAATGATGTTATATTTTCGATCCTTGAAGATCGTTCAGCACGACATTATTGTTGTGCTTGTGGTATTTTTAGTTTCAATTTTTCGGCATTTCTAGTTGGGTGGTTTCAATATTCCTACTTGAATAATGTTGAATCACCCTTAGGATATGTTGCCTGCTTTTTAAATTTGTCTTTTGACGTCATATCTGTGATATGCAGGCTTGTTGCCTGCTTTTTAAATTTGTCTTTTGACGTCTTATCTGTGATATGCAGGCTTCATAACCTCAGATCCCCTTTCAAAATTCCATTTTATTTAGTTCCGCCCATTGTTTTCTCGTTTAAGGCAAAAGCTTTCTTATACTTGGGGACCATACGCCGCTTTTCATGGAATGACACTACTGTGTCACATTGAAGGTTCCATGTTAACCGCCGTATGAACACATCTGCGGATGTTTCTAAATTCAAAATTTCACCATTTTCTTGTTAAATGTTGAATTCTGCTTAAGCCGGTGCTAGGGGGCGTGGACGGTAATTTGCACTTTCCATTACCGTCCATGAACAGGCTTAATCAAACCGAGCCTGCAACATTTTCAATTTTGTCGTGTTGGGCTTTCTTTAGGGATTCTGTATTTCTCTGCGTATCACAGATAAGACGTCAAAATACAAATTTAAAAAGCAGGCAACATATCCTAAGGGTGATTCAACATAACAAAATTCATTCAACATTCTAAGTCTTATCATTCAACATTCTAAGTCTTATATCTGAATCAGTTATGGCATCTATAAAATGGTCAAGGGCTATGGCTTCAACAACTTCTTTGGATGCACCAGTATAGGTATTTCTTGTAAGTCTCCATATGTCTTGGGACAATTGAGATATTGTCTCACCTTTATTTCTAACTCTAGTCTTTAATTTAGCTCTATAAATGTCTGTTTTATTTGCAGGGCCATAACGCTGGGTTAACAAGTCTACTAAAAGTTTGTAATTACAGCGGTCAGTAGTATCAAGTTCTGTTAACATGGAACGGGCATCTCCCTTTAAACTACTGGCAAGGCATAACCCCTTGGATCGGTTATCCCAGTTATTCAAGTCACTACATATTTGAAATGAGATAAGGAACTCATTAAGGTCATCATGTCCATCAAAGGTAGGTGGTTTAACTTTTACAATATTATTATTTGTACTACTGTGTAAAGGTACATTATTGTCACCATGGTCTATACGTCTGTCTGTAGGTTCTACTGAATTTGTATTTCTGTTTTCAAAATTGGTACGTCTGTCTGTAGGTTCTACTGAATTTGTATTTCTGTTTTCAAAATTGGTTTGTCTTGTTTCTATTCTATTTAATCTCTGTTCTACAGTTTCACCCATAGAAACAATAGCTTCTTTCATTTGTTCTACTATTCTTAACATTCTAGTTTCTGTATAAGAAATATCAACAGGAGAACTAGGTCTTGACTGGTCTGTACATTGTGATACAGTGTCAAAATTATCTAACTCATGAGGTTGGTGAACCTGGGCGTCCACCTCTATCTGGTTTTCTGCCATTGGTAATATTAAAGATAATGGTATCTACACTATTATGTAATACAGTGATAAATGAAAATCAACAATAATTAAACAAGGGAAATGTACAATGTTCTTTTCCTTTCTGCTTTCAGGTTGATCAGTCCGGAATGCAGGCAGCAAAAGTCACTGGAAATAAGGCTATAATAGAATCCAATCAACAAGGGTACTTATTTGATTGAATGGTCAGCCCCTGGACAGAAAAAAAATCCAGCTAAAACCCACTTGGCAAGAAATATCTCATTATGACCAGGAGATAAAGTATTATTGGCAAATATTTGACAGACTTAATTTTGTTGACAGTGAACTGTGCATCACAGAAAACCAGAAGCTATTAAAAGCTAACGATACTGTTAGAATAGCCCCTGACAAACTTAAAAAGCTCATATTTCGTCAGTTACACAGCAGTGTGACTGCTGGTCATTTAGGTGTTAGAAAAACTACCCAGAAAATACTCCAAAGATTTTACTGGTTTAAATTAAGACAAGACATAGAATACTGGTGTAAGATTTGTGACCAGTGTGCTAGACGTAAAAATCCGCCTAGACATGCAAAAGCCCCAATGAAGAAATATAATGTAGGAATGCCTATGGAAAGAATAGCAATTGATATTCAAGGACCTTACCCAAAATCTAAACGTGGTTTCAAATATATCCTTGTAGTAGGAGACTATTTTACCAAATGGATAGATGCCATACCCCTCAAAAATATTAAGTCAGAATACGTAGCTTCAAAGTTAGTAAACAAATTTATTTCAATATTTGGCGTACCCTTAGAGTTACATAGTGATCAAGGGACCACATTTGAATCCAAGATTTTTCAAGAAACATGTAAAATCTTAGGTATACACAAGACACGAACAACTGCCGCTCGACCTATATCTGATGGCATGATAGAACGCGCCAATCGCACCATAGAAAATATGTTAGCCGCTTATGTTAGTGAGAATCAACTTGACTGGTGTTCACACTTACCTTTACTAATGTTAGCATATAGATCAAGTGTCCACGAAAGTACAGGTGTTTCCCCTTGTGCCATGATGTTTGGCCGACAAGTTAATCTCCCCATAGACCTTGTAATGGGCAGACCTGTAGAGAATAAAAGAGAACAAACTATAGACTATGTTTATGAATTAGAAAACAAGTTATCTGAAATACACAATTATGCACGGTCAAGACTTGATATCTCAAGTTTTCAAATGAAGAAAACATATGACAGAATTACATATTATCACCCATATGAAGAAGGTGATAAAGTCTGGTACCATGATCCCAGATGTACAAAAGGTAAAAGTCCAAAATTACAGAGGCCATGGACTGGACCTATGGTTATTGTGATGAAAATAAATGACTGCCTATTCAAAATACAAAGACAACCTCGGACACCTGCAAAGGTAGTCCACCATGACCGACTTAAAATAGATAAATACAGAATCCCTAAAGAATGTCCAACACGGCAAAATCGAAAATGTTGCAGGCTCGGTTAGATTGAGCCTGTTTATTAAACCATATAATGGAGATGACAAGCCAACCTGGTTCACACAAAACTTATAATTGTTCAAATATATACGTTTTATAATTTCCGATATTTACTTCTTATATTGTTCAACCGATTTATTCCAGAACAAATATACTGAACCTGCTGTTACCTACAATACCTATTAATCACCACTTCCTTATTACAGGCAAAACAAGTCCTCTAGGAAATCCTGAAACAAGAATAAATTTAGAAAGTTAATAATTTTCTTACAGCTGCCAAGTACCAACAGATTTAGAAATATAACACAAAACTTTGATACAAATAACAATGTTGACATATCAGTAAAAATGTATACCTTGTTGTTTCAGTCTACATCCAAATGGGCCTGCAAATTGTGCACCGATCCACCACGGTTATTCAGATACAGCTCAGACTGCAGGAGACATCTGGTGAGCTACCATTTTGGTGTCTCCTTCAAATGTAGTAGTTGTGGCAAAACGATGCCCAGGAAACCAGAAAAGGGGCATTACACATGTGGAGTTCCGGATCCCTCATTCTACCTTCTACACAGGGAGTCAGGTGTATTTGGCCATGATGCTGTGGTAAAACAACAGAACATGTGTCAACAGATCCGAGAGGCCATGGAGGAACAAAACAACCTTGAAAGTAATCGGACAAAATTAAGCAAACATTCTGTATCTACATATAAAATATGATAAACAAGATCAACAAGGAAAGGCGGCGTTCAATGAACGCAACCCCCACATGACCCAGCAACAAGAACCAATGGCAAGGAGCCCAGGGGGACCCCAAACAAAAACAGGACAGGGCAAAGACAGAGCACGGACAGGTTAATCATTAAATGATAATTAATTTGTAACTGATTAGGAATTCAAAGAAAATAAAAATAGGCCCACAAAGGGGAAGGGGACAGGAGACCGGGGGAGGGGGTGGGGAGTAATCAAAGAAATAAAAACTAGAGGCAATGGGGAAGATACTTACCGTAGACGAGAAAACAACAAGGGACACAAGCAAAAGTGTCACCAAAACAGTATGAAACAACATAAGACATACATCTGAGGAACACAGTGGGGCGCCGCCTTGGAACTGTCAGCAGCATAATAATGACTGCTGGGGAGTTTAAACCGGTTAATGGTGCACCAAACCTCGCTCTTAGCCCCACCATGTTCCTATAAACGAGACAGTGTAAATAAAATGAATCCCCGCCAAGTGAAATTCTAACAGTTGTGCTAAAGTGCTAAATCCAAAGAAATTCATCTCTCATACACCGGCTTCAAAACCTTCAACAGTAACATCTGAAACCATAGAAGAAAACACAACTTATACTACTCCAGCTCCTAAACCCATTGTGGAAACTAAACAAACAGAAAACATTAATAAAGAAAACAACTCTGAGAATGATAACACATTACCTTTAACTTTATGGGAGACGCTTGACATAACCAACGATGATATGGAGGGAAGGATTTCACCTTTCTCTGTAGAGACTCATGATGAATTCATTGAAAGTCTTCTTAACACTCCGAAATCACCTGAAAAAGAACAACTTCCCATACATATGTCTAATGCAATTGACCAGATGAGACCAAAAATAACTATGTTACAACATTGGCAGAATGACAAGATCACATTATGTGTAGGTGGTAAATGTTTCGATACTACCAAATCCACTTTGATGAAGGAACCCACTTCCCTTATATCTATACCGTGCGGATTGTACTCCATTTACCAAGATTCCAAGGTGATCATTGACAGGGACCCTTCACACTTCAAGTTTATATTAAATTACTTACGATATGATTGTAGGATGCCAATTGGATGCTTACCCAATGATAAACAAGTTCTTCATGAATTAAAGGAAGAGGCAGAATTTTACATTTTACCAAAATTAGTCAAAGCAATTGATGAAAAACTTACCTCATTAAAGAAGTAAATTGGAACTTAAGTGAGTTGTGACTTGAGAAAAGTAAATACATACATGTATGCTCTGTATTAAAAGAGGATAAGTGGTGAAAATGAATTATAGAAATTTTATACTTATTTGTTAAAATGACTATATATATAGAGAGAGAAATATATACCGGTATACTGTAATACTATGAAAAAAAAAATGAATGAATTATTAAACTAGAACTGTTATAAGAATCACATATGCTATTGCTTATTTATTGTAGTCCTATAGGTTACCATAATGATATCTTATTAAAGAGAACCAGAGAACAAGTCCGGTTTTAACTCCTATGTTATCAGTAATAAATAGAACCACTATAGATAACTGAATAAAAACTGATGTGTAGTTACCAAGAAACCACATAATGAAAAAGAACCAAAGACAATTAGTCTTGTATCTAACAAATGACATGTGAAATTGTCATTAGAATTATATCAAACCACGTAATAAACTGTTTTATCACAAAAAGTGATAATAAATAGAATCATGGCATGCCAAAAATACCGCTACTTGTTGCGTATCAACCCTTTACATTGAGAAACAACAAGATGACCCCCTTTCCCTTCCCTACTGAGTTATACAGTTAGGTGTACTTACTTCCCGTCCCTGTGCACATCAGGGTGTGACATAATCCCATGGCTAAAATGCCTTGACTTTATCCCATGGCAAGTGATTCAATTGCCTTGACTTTACTTGGAGGTATAAGACAAATCCCTAGTGAAAGAAAACAAAATAGTAAAAGTAACCATCTAGAAATGGAAAAATGTGTTTAAAAAGAAAGACAAAATATGGTAGAAGAAGACGGTCCTAGGGTACTTTATTATTTATAATTATTAAAGGATTATAATATCCTATAGAGTGAGCAAAGTTCTCATGTATAGTGGGTATACTTTTAGGGGGGATACCCGTAAATGATGATCATCCTATTATATAACTGTGTATACACATAGTGTGCCAGATAAACAATACCAGTTTATCTGAATTGAATCATTATGACTTAGAATGTGCAGCATTTACACTGCCATTGATAGTTGCGGCCGAGATATAAATAAGAAATAATTGAGAAATTACCTTGACTAGAGATTGTTGGACTCTATGAAAACCTCCGAGTAACCAGCAAATATTTAACACCATAATTACCTCTATGTCCTACAAAAGAAAATACAAAATGTACATTATTAAGTATGAATGTAGTCCTAGCTAGGCAAAGTATGAATGTGATGATACTTGAATAAATGAAAATATCCCATAGCTGTATGAATCCGAATGACTGATATAAGAGTATGTGAGATTTGTAAACATTCTAACAGTGTCTAAAGAATGTAATGTAAATTACATCTAATCTATTAATCTATTTATTGAATTGACAATTATTCTTGTAAGTAAATTTAATAACGAGTTATTTTATATAAGTTCATAAAAGTTTAGAATGTTGTTTATTTTAAGTTATTTTAGATTTTACTAATTGATATTAAAGACTTGTTAACTTCCTTGTGTTACAAATTAAAGATTCCAAGGGGAATTACTCGTGATTTCTTAATATAGGAAAATGTCGGAATTACCTCCCCTGTATAGACACGTGCTTTAAATTAGAGACTGATTATGTTAATTACAGATAACATTATAACAATGAGCCATCTCACATATTTATTTTGATACTTACCTCAAGCCTATTCAGGGACTGAATCCATCTGGTTGGGGTGCAATGTAACGACCAAGTACCTAGCTCATTGATATTTTCGGATAAGATGTTTTATCC